AAAACAACTAGGGTGTAAGAAAAGTGACAAAACAACTAGGGTGTAAGAAACGTGACATAACAACTAGGGTGTAAGAAAAGTGACATAACAACTAGGGTGTAAGAAACGTGACATAACAACTAGGGTCTAAGAAAAGTGACATAACAACTAGGGTGCTAAGAAACGTGACATAACAACTAGGGTCTAAGAAAAGTGACATAACAACTAGGGTGTAAGAAAAGTGACATAACAACTAGTTCTAACCTTCAATTCCTAAACATCACCAGTTTACAATAACCAAACAGTAAAAGTTATTAGTTTAAAACAAACAGTAAAATCTATCAGTTTACAAAAGACAAACAATAATATGTATTTCACTTGTAATTATTTCATAAGTTGATTATAAAGTACAGCAAAAGTAAATTTATTTACAATATTTATTAGAACACACAATTAACTCAAAATATCAATCTTATACATGATGTGACTCTCTACAAGGCAAAAACATCTTTCCTAACAAAGTACCTTCAACAGATTAACATATATTACCATAACAAAAAGTTGGTGCACCTTTCCTAACAATGTACTTTCAACAGATTAACATATATTACCATAACAAAAAGTTGGTGCACCTTTCCTAACAATGTACCTTTAACATATTAACATGTATTACCATAAAAAAAGTTGGTGCACCTTTCCTAACAATGTACTTTCAACAGATTAACATATATTACCATAACAAAAAGTTGGTGCACCTTTCCTAACAATGTACTTTCAACAGATTAACATATATTACCATAACAAAAAGTTGGTGCACCTTTCCTAACAATGTACCTTCAACAGATTAACATATATTACCATAACAAAAAGTTGGTGCACCCTTCCTAACAAAGTACCTTCAACAGATTAACATATATTACCATAAAAAAAGTTGGTGCACCTTTCCTAACAATGTATATCAAACATATTAGAATTCCTCCATTCCTTCCCCTTGATACAAGACATGAGCAGACAAAGTATATTGAAGAGATTAGAATTCCTTCCTTCCCCTTGATACAAGACATGAGCAACTAAATTTTTTATCCACACAAAGCAAGAGTAGCTTTCTTTAACATGTTGATACACATCACAAGTGGCCATTTACTTTGTTCTATACCACACAAAGATACAAGTGGCCATCTACTTTGTTCTATACCACACAAAGATACAAGTGGCCATCTACTTTGTTCTATACCACACAAAGATACAAGTGGCCATCTACTTTGTTCTATACCAATCAAAGATACAAGTGGCCATCTACTTTGTTCTATACCACACATGAAGATACAACAGGTAAAAGGTGACCATTAACTTTGTTCTTTGTCACACAAAGAAATATCACTTGAGGGTAGTAACAGACTGTACTTAGAAAAGTTTCAATTTAACTGTTATGATGTATTGTGCTTTAGGGCCATTAAATCACAAATAAACTGTTTTAGTGGCTTTGAAACTATGTAGCAAAAACTACCATATTATACGAAAACTAAAAGAGAAAAACTGTGAAGTATTTAATCACCTACTTTGTTCCTTTCCAGACAAGACAAGAGCTGCTTTTCTAACAATGTTTAACACGGCATCCCTTGCACTGCCAAACAAATCCGTCTTGATTGGAGATTCATCTGAACTTGGAATGTCTACCAAATGTTAAGAAGTTATTATTCTCATTGCTCTAAAAACACTTTTCTTTGTTAAGTAAAATCTACAAGTTGTGGCAAACTTTTATTACTGAATTTCGTGGGCCGATAAACATTTGAAAGGTCCTAAAATAAATCAATTATGAAATAAATAAATGTACTTAAGAATAAGATGTTTTGAGAGAGACAAATAAAATAGAATTGGTTTTAATCTTTCTGACATTTATAGAGAACTGTTTTCTTTGGTGCATGTTTACAGTTAGAACTTTGTAAAACTGAAAAACACACTATTCATTATTAAATTATAGGTATGAGTATTTCGGCTTATTTTAACTAAATGAGAAATCCTGATAATTCAGATTTTTGTGATCTATAACTTATGATGGTGATAACAATAAACAACCGTCCCTACAAACTGTCATATTACCAATCACGTAAGCTTAACAACCATCCCCACAAACTGTCATATTACCAATCACGTAAAGTTAACAACCGTCCCCACAAACTGTCATATTACCAATCACGTAAACTTAACAACCGTCCCTACAAACTGTCATATTACCAATCACGTAAACTTAACAACCGTCCCTACAAACTGTCATATTACCAATCACGTAAACTTAACAACCGTCCCCACAAACTGTCATATTACCAATCACGTAAACTTAACAACCGTCCCCACAAACTGTCATATTACCAATCACATAAACTTAACAACCGTCCCTACAAACTGTCATATTACCAATCATGTAAGCTTAACAAATGTTGTATCTAGAAATATACAGTCGATTTATGAATTTATTTAAGATACATTTATTAAACATATATTTATAGATTTATGAAAACATCAACAAACAAAATAAATGTATTTTAGAAAAGAACAACAAAATATTCACTATTTTCAAATAAATCTGAAATATTTTGTCTGCAGCCAATGAAAAAACAATACAACGTATACTACTACCTACCAAGACGATCATCATCATAATGAAAAAACAATACAA